GTCCCGGCAGCACACTTTCTCAACTTCCGCCAACACCAGGGAAAAGCCTGGAGCGGCTACTAGCCTTCCACAGCCTAGAACGTCTTCTTGCGCGTCGCAAGAAATTCAAGATGTTATTTTAACAAGACTCTCGCCAGCCACAACACCGGTTGCGAGTAGTCCGCGCCTTAGGGCGCCATAAACCTTGTAAAAACAAAATACGTTAAATAGAATAAACGAGATTGTTACAAGCCCAGACTCCTTTGTGCAACCTACCCAAAAATATCTAGCAACCGCCACAATTATATTTTATTTTTCTATTGACAAGTCATAGCAAATTAATATCTTTTTCAATAGTTATTAATTTAACTTATGCGAATATTTTTAATGAATATAAAATAATACTGTTTAGAAAAAAAAATTATTTAATTATTTACTCGATTGTGCATTAGATTATGTTAAAAAGAAATGCGGGAAAAAGAAAAAAAATTGCAAGAAACAGGTCTAGAAAACGGAATCTCTATTATTCAAGCTATTCGTTTTACTCGATTAAAAACGCTTGGCTTCTTAGCATTTTTCGTACGTAGCATTTTTCGCGGGCTGGGGAAGTGACACAAAATATAGCATGCTACGCTGACGCGTGCGCACACGGACGCGTGACGTGCGATTCTCGCTTGTGTAGTGCCCGCATGGTGGGGACCGTTTCCCTCATGTTGCTCTGTTGCAGGATGCTCGATCTTGCAGCACTGGCTGACGCCAATGTCAATGCCAGCGCCGATGTCACCGTTGACGCCGATGCCGTCGGCGCTAACGGTGACATCGGTGATGATTCTGTTGCGAGTCTTTCCGATCGCAACCGTAAGTTCGAGATCCGCTTGGGGAACGGGACGTACTGCTTAGAGATGTGGAATAACTGGACGCAAACCTTGACTCGAACAATTTATTTAATCACTCACAAACTGCCAGGACGGTGTTAGATTTTCGTGAGCCGTGTACGGACACGGGAAACAAGTCGGTTTATTCGCGTATCGTAAACTGAATCCGTCGCGGCTTGCGCGTGACTGTATTTATACGAATCGGCAATCAAGAGTTTTGTAATTTTATTGATATGTTATTGTTGATATTTCTCAGATTGCTGATTCGTGTCACCTTGAATCCGAGGTTGATTCTCTGCAGCCTTATCGTTATTCTTTATTTGCTAAATAATTCTTTCTTAGTATTTTATTTTGGTATTTAACTTAATTAACCTTATAGTGACACGTTGTGTGTTACGACACACAACAATTCTATTTTTGACATTTAATAATTCCTGAAAAAAATAGGAAAAAATCATGTACCATATATAAATTACTCAAAAATACGGATAATGCCAGTTATCGGAAAACGAGAGAGATCAAGAAAACACGAACGAAATGTATTGCTAAAGTTTTAATGTTAGAGACACTACTCGCAATAAAAAAACGCAAAATGAAGCATAAGTCCCATCAGGACTCGGCTCACTCGCTCAAAAGATAAAGAGATAAATTACAATAATAATCCTCGAATCAAAAATCGTGAAGCGATATATTGTGTCATATAAATAATGACACAATAAAAAATATTACGTGATAAAGTTACACTACATTAGATGATAGCACGCGACGCGAATAATCTTAAATATTGTACAAAAAAATATACTTTTTAAATGTATGCTGTACTTACCACTGCGATTACCTCTTCTCCACCGACTCACGTAGACCAACGTAGACTGAAGTGAACTGAAGCGTCCGTGGTCACGCTACGCTGCATAGCGATATTCCCAATACGCACGCGTAGTAAACAATCCAAGCGCGAGCGAAAGATCGCGACCGATAAACCGGCCACAACATAAACACGGCATTGACTTTAACACTTTTCTCGTTCTTAATTTTACATTTAAAAAATTTTAGGAGAAATGATTAATAGTATAAATGAGTAAATAGTATAAACTAAAATGCTATTTTCATAAAACGTCATACATTTTATGTACTGCGACGACTTTTCTGTCGGGCAGAAGCTCACCCGCCGGTAGGTGTGCAAAACCTCGTTGCTCTATTTATTCAATTCTTAATTACACAGTAATGCTTAGAATTGGGCGCCAGGCGCGGATTAACGCGCCGCACGAACAAATACGTTAGAACCAATATCATTAATAATGAGCAACGGTGATAAGCGCGACTAGCCTGCTCTCCAAATGGCAGAGGGGCGAGGTTCTTGAGAGATGCAAAAGAAAGACTTGGAGAGAGGAGTCTGAAATAAGGCGGTTATAAAGAATACATCAAATTTTTGGTAACAAATAACATGTATTTATAACAAGTAGATTAAACGAGGTTGACACCGAGTGATAGGCGCCTAAATGATCCCGCGGTGCGGAGACATAAATGATGATATCGGTGAGAGGCTTTATGATTTCGGATGTTCGGCTTGCGGAAACCCGCGTAATTCAGTCTCACTCGGTATAAGATGTTTGGCTTACAAGTCTTACGATTCTCATTAAGTGCGGTCGTTACGATTCACTCTACTTAATCTCTCTTAATATCTGGTTAGCATACAACGCGAGTTCATTCTCTGTACGGTTCTTAAAAGTTCTCACTTGAAACGCTCGACAGAAGGCCGAGGCGAGAAATACACGACAGGCTAACTTCAGAAATACTCTTACGCTCGTAATAATTTATATATACGTAATAATATTACGTACCGAGCGTACGTAAATACATGAATAGACGCGAAATTATTACTCATAAATACACGATAGAACGCAAAAGACGACTGTCGGCTCGGCAGCCCCGAGGGGGAAAGCGTGGCGGAATCTTATTCTAATTAGCGGTAGTCAGCGGGGCCCGGCCTGAATCTAACCTCACGCGATACCGCGAGAAATCTCAGTGCGCCGGTACTCTCAAAGTGCATTATGCGGGATATTAATTCCGCGAGGTTCGGGCCGCCTACTGATA